TCGCGATCAGCAACAGCCAAAAAATAATAAACTCGCTTTACGAACTTCAAATAACCCCCTATTTTCCCGACTTCTGGGTAATTGACCTGGCCTGGAAGGTTAACCAATGACCAAGTTGGTTATCATCGGCTTCCTCGCGTCTCGGGCAACACGCTCATTTTTTCCGCGAAGCTCTAGCTCCACCAGGGGCCAAACGACGATGGGATTCCAACGGACCCCCCCCCCCCCCCATACGTTAAACGCTGGCAAAACACGAATACGGGCGAGGGCTAAACACCAGTCAATTTCTTTATATTGTTTGTTCCATTTCATTTTGCCTCTCATTCTCGGTTGGCAACTGCCAAGCAGGAAAACTAATCAGTTTCACGAGATCAGAATTCCCGCGCTGTTAGCCATACAGAAATGACAGTTCTGTCATTTTCGAAACTACGAATAAATATAACAGTTTTTTTTAATCTGTATGTAATATAGGTGTTCTATAGTGTTCCTTTGTAGCTTGTAGGGAGCCATCTTGAGACTTGACAGGGAGCTGTGCTGTGCCTTTTGCATGTTAGGTATGTCCACAGAAAAAAAAACTTTGGGGTTACTGATGTTAGTTGTCGGACCTTCGTCCCCGTCTTGAGTTGAGATTCAGTTTCATAACGTTTCGGCCAGTTACTCTCCGGCCGTCGTCACTCGTCAGGTGTTCTTTGACCCTCAAGGACCTGGATGTTGGTGGCGTTGCGCCGTACGCGTCAAACAGTTCGAAAGCTCCTGTAGTCAGCGGGAATCGAACTCGGGTTTCCCCGGTGATGGTCCACGGTTGTAACCACTCCACTATCGAGGCAGGCTTGACTACGGCCGGAGAAGCTACTGGCTGAAACGTTGTGAAACTAACATCTCAACTCAAGACGGGGACGAAAGTCCGACAACTAACATCAGTGATACTAACAGGCCTCGTCTCAACCATTCAGAAAAAAACTAAAGCTTTTGGGGTTGATGGAATGATGTGGGGAAAGAAAAGGAGAAGAGTTGGTCTAATTGACTTTGTCTTACCTGCAGACCCATATTTCATGCTAATTTGCATGCCTACCAGCCAGGGGCGTCGCCACGGATTTTTGAGTGGGGGGGGGGGGGGTCGGGTTTCTAGTCTTCATCCGATGGGTAGGGGTGTTTTTTTTCCACGCTTCCCAGTTTTGTGCGTGCGTATGTGTGTGTGTGCGTGTGTAACAAATCGGCGCGCAGCGCCGCCAAATTTGGTATAACCTATTAGGTAGGTATACCTACCTACATCACTTGCGTAAAAATTATCACTGGTCACTTAAGGTCAGGTCGCCATGTCAAGTTCAGTTATACGGTATACCTCTATAAAAACTTTCCCCTCTCGCCATTCTTGTAGCTTTTCTCCCATAACTTCGAAATTTGGTACACTGTATAGGTACCTAATGTATGGGGTTATAGGGTAAGGGCGGGTAAGAGGACGCAGGCGACAAGAGTACGCAGCAGCTGTTTCGGTTGCTTAGCAACGCCTCATCAGCGTCATCTCGAGTCCTCAGGAAGCTGTCTCTCACGCGGCTTCGATGGTGGAAGGTGGGCGCGCTACGGGTTCACTTGTCTTTTTTAGAGGCTTAGACGTGTTTTTCACATCGCTTTTAGACTTTTTGGGGTGCAGGAAAAGGTGTGACCTTCCTCAGGGAGCGGCAATAGAATTTTCATTTTTTCCTATCAAGATACCACGGGGAATCTGGTGTGTGTGTCAAGTCCCAATTGTTTACGCGACGACTGTGGCGCCAGCTCTCAGCCCGCTTTGTGTCTACCGTATGTGTCGGCCATGAGTACGCATTGCCGTGGCGGACAAGAGTACGCAGTTTTCCGAGTGCGTGGTTGTGTTGCATTAATCAACTTAGAGCATCAGGCGCGCAACCCCTCAGCAGATTCACGGGATTGGCCAACAAGGTGGATGACACTCGGGGGGACGCCGAACAGTTGGGGAAACCACGAAGAGCATCACTGTTTCTGGTAGACCAGGGGGCATTTGCACGACCACAGCGTGGCGCCTCGACTCTGTTAAGAGTGACCGTTTTAGTGGCTGTGGCAATAAAGATAACAATAGTTTAATTACTTCCATGAATGCATTGATTCCAGCGAGTAGGAATGCATACACGTAGTGCGTACTCCACCCGCACGAAGTGCGTTCTCTTGTACTGCCTATCGGGCAAGAGTACGCAAATGCAGGGTGTTAGAAAATTGCTTACGGTCACGCTTTAAATTGGACGTAGGCCGCTGTGGTCATGACAGTTTGTGGACAAATGATCAGGCTTTATCGGGATATACTGATCGTAGCCGTAAACCAAAACCGAACGGCGTGAGACGACAAAATGCATTAGGTGCGTACTCTTGTACGGTCCTCCCCTACGTGTCAGCAATTCATGATTCTAACTGAGGATTTACATCTATGATCTGAAGGCAGGTGAAATACGTGACCTCATCATTAGAAAATAATGAGAAATTAGAAAAAGCACGAAAGCACGAATTAGAAAAAGCACGAAAATTTCATTGTATCATGAGCATAAGGTCATTTTCTACCATCATAATATTCATAATTATGCTCAAACTAGCCATAGCTCACCTCCAACGAATGCCTCCTGCTTTGAAAAAGTTCGTCAGAAACGCAAAATATCTTTGGAGCCATGACAAATCAGCTCATCATTGCCAGGGACAGGGTGCAACTTATGGCGAGTGATGACTCGAAAGGTCATTAGTGGAAATGTCCATCGATGGCCACCAGCATTTTTTTTCTACAACTTTTGACGAAGACGCGGTAGAGCGATGACAGCACCTGGAAGGTGATCACTGTTCAGCTCAACAACACGGATCCATTCATATGCAGCAGGAGGTCCTTTTTCGATCAGGACATAACGTTGACCTGAGGTCGTTTTAACGTTAATTCTGAATGGTCAAATTTTAACTCATGTGACGCGTCTCAAAGAGATCAAGACGGTGGTGACAAGACAACATATGTACATACCATACAAATTCACGGAATCGAAAGTTATTGCAAAGCAGATGTTTCGGCAGAATCTGTCCAGTTAGCTGTTTGCCTTCTTATGGGCCAAACATAGACCTGAAATGAAATCTAACGCGAAGCTAGCGAAAGAGCGTTAAAAGAGCTATCGAATAGTTTTCTGCTTCACTGTAGCGCTTCTATTGGTGGTTTCCCAGTCGCTAACGTATAGCGTATACTAAACTAACGCTGAGGCATGCTTTCGACCCCTGATCGATCTACAGGTTTGCGGAAAAAAGAGCATGCTGCCCGTGACGAGAGAAAGCCGATGATACCCATTTACAAGTTTTCGGGTCATCTCAGGACTAAGGTCATCGCCAATAAGTAGAGAAACTCGGGACCTGCTAGAACTTAATGAATGTAAGTTGTGATGGTTTTTCGAGGTTCTGATTACGAATGTTACCTATCTTAGTTTTGAACGAAGATGATGACCCCATGCATTTGGGGTAGATCAGGTCAGGTCAGATCGACCAGTACCTAATAGTGGATGACCACCACCGATTGCTTCCTAGCATGTTATATGAATAAGCAACACAACTACTTCTTAAATGTTCAGATGGGGCTAAGTTCAAAATCAGCTCCAAAAACTACCCTATCAATTATAAGCACGTTATGAAAAGTGAACTAAGGTCATCTTTATTTGAATCAGGGATATCAATTTATTTTAAGTAGGCGATTAACTCGAGCGCACCGGAAGTTTTGTTGCAATCGGCTCCTTTTTGCGCGACTTCTTTGCGAAAGCCCGAGACGGTTCCATCTGACTCCCTTTCCCCTACATGTGCACTGTACAGCTAGTTGTGACGGTAGCCATGGGGCTGAGGCTAGTTTGTAGTTTTGTAGTTAGGTACTGATCCGACGAATCGACTGCGACAATTTTTTAAAACGATCAGACGAACGCTCGGGGCAGTTTTGGCGCGTCCAATCCTTTGAGGGATAAAAAGGTATACTAGGATGGGGGCTACTTAAAAACATTGTTGTGCTGGTGTTCCCCGCCCACAGCTAATTGACCTTTAGGTAATTGGCTAATTGGCTTTAGGGAGCTCTTGAAGCGATTTTGAATCTGATGTATTTGTTGGTGTTGCTGACGCCTGCTTCACTGACATAAAAGCTAAAAAAGCATACTCAGCATCGCAAAAAGTGGGGGGGGTCGACACCCCCAGTTTTCAAGAGTGGGGGGGTCACGACCCCCCCGACCCCCCCGTCGGCGACGCCCCTGCTACCAGCCTGGTATCAGCTTTTATCATGCATATCAACTCACCACCTGATGGCATATCAACTCACCACCTGTCACTTTTCTTAAAATTATAAAAAAGCTTTGTTATAGGTGAAACCCAGAACTACCTGGGATCAACAGTAAATTGATGGTAGTTTCTTTCCCAGTGCATGTTGTTTCATGAATATCCACCGTCTTTGCTGTAGGGTGGGGACTTTTCCTTAGTTTCAAAATCAGAAGAAAAAAAGGACTTTGAAAAAAGTAATGTGTTAAGAAGGCACTGCACCACATGCATGCCTTTCTCAGCTATATGCATCACTTATTGGTTGCTTCACTTCACAGAAAAATAAAACTAAAAATTGGTTTACAAGTGGATGAGCAGCACACATTTTAACATTTTTCGAGCAATTTATATCAACTCACCACCCCATATCAACTCACCCCGGTTTACGGTACGTCACAGCTGATCTTCCGAGTCGGATCAGCTGTTGAGGGCGGGGCATAGCGTAGACTGCGATGACGTCACACGTGTGGCAGACTTCCAATAAACTTGAATGGCTATATTTTTCGATGGCTAGAAATTACAAATTATAGCTTACACATAGATAAATTTATTCTTGATGATGAAGTATGCTCATTTCTTCCCACAGCGCCTTCGTTTGAATAAAATAGTTGCCTCCGCCAGCACTACTTTTACGAGCCGAGGGTGCTCGTTCGCCAAATCAAGAGTCACTTTCCTTATTTGTCTCGGTGGGGGTTGGACGCTCTTCTTTCGTGCTCGTGCGGGAGAATTGGATTGTTTGTTTTGGTTATCCACATCCATATTTGTAAATCATTGCAAATGTCCGGTGGAAGGTGTAAAGACAGTGCAACGTGCGTTTCCCTGCCGGGAAAAAAGTGAGTGAGTAAAGCAATGCAGAATTCGAGTGGAGATGGTAACGGCCAAGATTCACAACATTACTCGCTGAACTTTCCTGTGAATCCAAGTTCGGAGTTCTACCACAACTTGACATCCTCAAGTTCGAGTGTGTCCAATATACCAGGTCTTCTGAGACTCGCACCAACCTCCCCAATGGGTATGCCAGTGGTATCCAGTGGAATTCAGACTGTTGCGGGGGCCAGCCATGGTTATGTGGTTCCAGGCAGCAACCCCTTGAAAAGAACTGCCCAAGATGCAGGGTTCTCTGACCAGAGACAGTGTGAGATGCCATCATCTGATGATGATGGCTCCATATCGGACAAATTCTCAATACCCCAAACATCAGTGTCGCCGACTGAGGGCCAGCCAAAGATATCGGATGCCTCGCCAGTGGTGAAGAAAACCAAGGGCAGGGTGAAGATTAAGATGGAGTTCATCGACAACAAGCTAAGAAGATACACTACATTTTCCAAGAGAAAGACTGGAATCATGAAAAAGGTAGGTTCTCTTTTGAAAGCATAAAATTCAAGTATGCGTGTATGATGCGCTCCACATACATCACGATCCTGCTCTAAGAACCTCTCTAACAAATTTGTATATTGAGGCTTATTAAGATCAAGTTTTGCCTATCATTGGCTAAAATTACTGTATTGCATGAAAAATGATACTGATTATGTCACTGAACTGACTTCCAAAGCAAGCAACAACATCAGCATCATCTAAGTAAACTTTCTCTTCTTGCAAAGGCTTTGTAAGAACCACATTGCTGGGTGAAATATAAATGCAGTGTTATTGTTATTTCATACACTTTTCTCGCCAATTTCCTTTTAATCTCTGATACTATAGAATTGTTTTAGTCTTCTACGTTTACTCAGTTTTCCTCCTTGGTATCTATCTTTCATAGCAGATATTCTGGCTAAAATGAATCATTTTATTCAATTATTTTTACAAAAACTTTTGTAAAAGTATACCTAGGTAGGTATGTATTTGATTTTACCAAGCTATCCATTCAGCAAAGTCAATTGCTGAATAGCAGCCCAGTTTCATGATGTTATTGGTTGTTTAGTCTGCAGTGATAATCTATGAAATGGAGATGTGATGTTTTTGAGAGCATGCACAAATGTTATGAATGAATCACGTATGACTCCTGTATGCTGTGCTCTGCTCTGTCAGCAGTGCAAGGATCAGGATCCTTAGGCTCACAAATCTTCAGTCATCATTTTATGACAAGGAGAGGCTTGATCATTGTTCCCTTTATTAGCTAGGTAATAGCATATGGGCTTGGGTATGCATTGACTGTTTTTGAGCAATCTAGCACCTTTTGAACAAATTGCAAAGCTGATAACAGCACTTTCATTGAAATGTCTTTTGATATCATACCTTTTGATATATGGGCAAATACTGCATAGACCAATGATTATAAGGCATGGGTACCTACCAGCTATATGAAAACAGCTGAACCATAAGGAACCTTTTAGAACCCACCACCAGCTGACCAATAGGTAGGTACCTACCTAGGTACTCAGTCACAAGATAAGATAACCCTCTTCTAAAAGCTTCAAGTAATATCATATGGAGTTGGCATGTGTTTTTTTTTTGTTGCAGTGCATTTTAGGTGATGGTATAGTGTATACACATGAGAGCACATTTGTAATGCAGCGCTGCTTGCTTTCCCTTGTTGGTATGTATGCCTCAAACATGTGGCTGTGCTGTCATAATCACAGTTTTAGGGCCTCGTCAAATTGTTTTCCACTTTGGCATTCGGACGAGGGCCGATAGTGTCAATATGGACGAGCTGTGGGTCGAGAGACGGCATAGCTCTACCAGAAGATGCAGACTTTTCGGGAAAACCTTCACTTCCACTCCCTAGTGATGCATGACCACCTCGTCAGAATAGGAGAGATGGTTCGCCTTCCTAGGCCTCCTATTCACATGGCAGATACTCGATGTGACCATGATGAGAATCACCAAGAATGGCAACGAACAGGACTACGGGAGTCTGAGTCGAATTCGGTCGAAGGCGACAGTTCCAGCCGCAGTCAGAGTCAACATTGCTTTGGCTGAAAGCCATGCTTCTATTTTGCTTGTCGAACCTTTTCACGTTCGTTTGCTACTGTCGTGTGGAGTGATCCGGATGGCCCAGGACGGGTCGGATCAGGGCTGGAGATCATGAGGGGCCGTGGGTTCCCGGACCCCTGTGGGCCCACTGAGCACCAAAGTCCCTTCTAGCAAGTGACTCGCAGAGGCCGGTGTGGGCCCCCTGAGAAGCTTCCCGGTGACGTCGCACGAGAATAGGGCCCTCTGAGATTGCTTTGAGGGTCTTTCAGGGTAGTGTGGGCCCCTGCAATGGTAGACCTTTCAAACTGAGTTCTATAGACTTTCAGACTGATCTCCAGTCGTGGGTCAGATGCTGCCGCTCACGCTGGAGCTCTGGCTTGGTCCTGGGGCGGCCAAACAGCGCTGAACCTCAATGTGTCATAAAAATTGCACTCTTTTTACGTTCCGGCAAAGGGAAGAAGGAATATCATAGGTGACTGTCATTTGACAGTGGGATGTGTATTGTGCCCCATATAATAGGTAACTGAGGTTAAAGTTTAGCCGCGTTACGACCATTTTGATTCGTATCAGCTTGTCAACTCTGTGGCCTGTGGGTTCTTCAGCCATCCGTGGACGATTTCGTATAGTTATTCACAGCGAAAGCGTTCTACAGCCAGATAGAAAAGTATGTGCTTCCACCTCTGGCATAGGCAGCTTTCCGGCCATGGCTTGGCGGTTTGAGTAAGACGAGGGACGAAACGAATTGCTGAAACGGAAATCGACTCATTTTATGTAAAGCCAGAACCATAGATAACAGTAGATCTTTTATCTACTTTTATCTATGCCAGAACTTTGGGGCATTAGCGTGGTGTGTCGATAGTAGTGGTCCTTTTGGGTTCACTCAATAGAAGTGATACAATAAATGGAAGAAACACATTTCAGATCGTTGTTGCTCCCCTGGCAGCAGAGTCCACTGTTGCAGGAAGCGTATTGGAAATGCAACTGCATGTGTGCCGTTGTTCTTGGTTCGTGTTGCTGCCCTCGCTGCCTATCTAATAATTCATGTGTTTCATGTCAAGTGCGCAAGATTCATTAGCATTGCGAGCTATTTCGACAGCACGGTTAAGTGCTCGTGAGTTGATGTGCACTTGTAATGCAAGGCGTTCATTTAACGTTTCTTGCGGCGTAAAATTAGATACGTTCTACCTACTGTCCGTCAAACGAAGCGAGTTTCGGCGTATCAAAGCCGATAAACTCTTTGCTCGAACGCACCCGAAACGTTTAAAATCCTTCGAAATCAGGCGCTGGATACGGGTAGGTATGTGCAGATGGAGTACCTAGCCCGTGATCCTTCCGAAGAGCTGCGAAATAGAGCATTACTCGCATTCCGCTGCTGATTGGTAGACTGAGCTTATTTTTGCTTACTTACGGACTTGTCTCGTCCGACATTTCCGGTCACTTTATAGCACCGAAGACTACCGCAGTTCAGGCGGCCTAAGCCTCCAAATCAGCATCATCATCATCCCGATAACTACTTATTTTGCCAAATGAATTTTGCTCTCAGGATGAATGAAAAAGGTACAGTTCCTCACTGTACCCGTTTTTAGCCTGCGGCCGATGGGTTTAAATTTTCACGTAAACTACCTGGCGCTCGCCAAAATCGAAAATACCTGACGAATTGCCCGAGGCGGATAGATCCCGCGTAACCTTAAAGGAAATAGTTCACTTTTTAACATGGGTTTTGAACTGGAATAGCAGTTCCGTAGCCTGGGCTGAGACGAGCATAAATCAGGAGCTTTTACAGCCCAACGATCACCCTAGGCAAAGATATTCTATTTCTCGTCCCGAAAAAGGTGTCTTGCGTTGAGGATGTGTGCCTTGCATATATTGCATTCCAGTATGAAAAGAGCATGGGTACCGAAAATTCTTCAGAAACTAGAGAAATTATCTACGAGAACTCTAGAGAAATTCTCGTACTGATCAATAAGGACATTCAGCAGCAGCAGATCGCCCAAATGCCGGTGGCCGCGATAATTTCTCTAGTTTCTGAAGAATTTTCGGGACCCATGCTCTTTTCATACTGGATCGCGTGTGCCTTACAGAAACTGAAAAGTTCTTCCTATATCAAAATATAGAAAATAATATTTTGTTATAAATAGGTTTTATTTTCTTTGCTGATCATTTTGAACATAAAAAATCATAAATCCATTGCAAAAAAAATAATTTCGTGAAAGTGAACTATTTCCTTTAAATTATGATCATAGGACACCCAATGCCTGATCAGACCCGGCTAATTTTGTGGCGCACGACACCAAAGCTGACAGTGAACAACCGTTCGCCAAAGTGTGACCGTTAGCTGAGGCTCGGCATCATCGCCTCTACAGAGTCTGATTCAGACCTTGTATCCTCCTTTCAGTCGTAATATATTTGCAACTGTACTTAAAAATGCAAATATGTTATGGTCCCTTTGCCGTCTAACTGTTGTTTGAAACGTTTGTAGACTTTTTTCGTTTTTTTCGTTTTTTTTTTCGTTCTCGTAAAGCATTGAACATTTGCGATGCATTCTAGCTGTTTGTAACAAGGCAGTGTCGTAGTTTTCCTACCCCAGGATTTGATGGCATATCGGTGTGACAAATGAAAAACATCGAAACTTTTTTTGTTGAACAAACTAAACGCTCACATAAAACACTCATTAGCTTGTTATATTGGTATCTAATGCTGTGGACGTAAGTTTGGTGTAGTTTTGCGCCAGATAAGGTCAGTCGTCTCCGTTAATTGCAACGAGTGACACGAGACGTAGGAAGGTGCGTGACACCGCAGTCGACGTGCCCTCAAGTCGTAGCAAACATGCTGGGAGATAGATACGAAATTCACTGAATGGCGGCAGTGTTTCTTCAGCAACACCTGCTCTGACCCTCCATCGTGCTATTAGCTCAGTTTTTTTCTTCATTCGGGCTTTCTCTTACTTATTACTCCGTTTATGTTTGTTTTAGTAAAAGCTTATCACTCTGGAAGCTGGGACGAGGTTTAAAGGAGTACTCTGCCTCTTAATGCCCTGAAGCATACACCTCTGTATACAGAGGTGTGTGCCTGAAGCTATCTTTAATGCCTATCCTTGTTGCCCTTTCCTTGCGGAGTATGTACTATAGGTCACACCCTTGATAAGCCAGAGATGCCTTGCCTGTAAAATTGAACGTGATAGTTACTTGGGCGATATTTTGTGCGAGACGGATGTGTGCACCTCTATCTTGATTAAAATGTGGCGTGTGTTAGTGTGTTGCATGTTCGAAACAGGTCTGTATCGCTTTTGTCTCCACATCTTTTCGGACTGCTAACGCTCTGCCTCCTCCTGGACACGCCCATGTTTCACTCACAAATTCAGGTCAGTATCGCCCCAAGAAATGGGCATTGGTCGCACACAGCAAGATTCAAAAGGCCTCTGATAGGTGCCAGCTTACTCG